CTATCATGTGTTCATCTTCATCTTCAGTGTGTAATGCTCCAGTTATTCTCTATATCAGTGTCAGTGTTTCTGAACTCCTGAAACGCCTCCATTGTAGTCTTGAGTTTCTCCCGGGAACGAACACGTCACAATATTCCTCATTATAATAATTCATGCGCAGAATAAAGGGGCGGGGCCTGGTTGAGTTAGTTAGTAGTGTGTTAAACTGGCGGTTATGGGAAGGGGCGGGACTTTCCCAAACACACTCGAAGCGCTCGACCAATCACAACACACTGATCCAGCAGACCAATCAGAGCACAGTGTGCTTTTCAGAAGGAGGGGCTTCATAGAGACAGGAAGTAAACAGAGCGTTACTGACAGACTGGGAAGAGAGGAGCCGCAACAATGGAGAATATGAGGAGAATAATCAACATTCAAGCAGGAAAACCTGTTCTAGTAGAGCCTGAAACTACATCAAGACTGTATTAGGACATATTTAAGTGAAAATGTCAGCAGACAGCAGCATCAAACCCCATAACACTGAATAAACACACTCACACCTCATAAGCCACCGAAACTCATGTAAGATGTGAGAAGTGAATGAGCCAGAGATGGATGTTTGTGGGAGGCCAGATATCCAGCTGAGAGAAAATACAACCAAACCGCTACAGCAGAGACACACACACACACACACACGGCTTGAGCTAAAGGGTGTAAATTCTGTATTTCTGTGGATTTAAAGTGGTCTAAAGGCCCAGTCGAGCTCTTATGTCGGGTTACAGCATTTCATAAGCTTGTTACTAAAGCAGCAAAAAGGCTAAACAAAACCGAACTGGACTGACAGCACAGTGCCAACAAAAAGCCCTAGATAGTAGCCAACTCTAGTGTGCTTGGCCATGGCTCAGTGTGAATGCATTAGCTTCATTAGGGGTGTTCGCACCGCAGGAACTAGGAACGATTTTAGCTCTAGGAACTGCTTTTGGAGGAACTTATTTACTCCTACTCCAGAGTCGGTCTAAACCAGCGCTATAGGAACTATCCGTGACGTTAGTGTTCGCTGATTGGCCGAACGCACACAAAACACCAGAACACGCCATTTTTTAAAAAGCTATGTAAACACAATTACAGCCTATATATTTACTCCAGAAACTGACTCTATGAACATGTAAAACAGTGATAGATGAGTCTCTTAATCTTTACGGCGAGGAGAAACTCCAACGCAACTTTGAGGGACCGTGAGAAACATGATTATGTATTTGCGCGTCTAAATTAGTTGCTTATGTTTACTAAATGAGCCTACAATAGCAGACATAAGCCCGTTTAATAAAAATAAAGATCCATGTTTTATAAACATGTTCACAAAACTTAAATGAAAATGTTTCGTGAAATTTGAAAAATATGTAAGATATCGTTAATTTAGTCGTATAGGCTACGTTCTCATATCCATTTATTTTGTTCTAATGTCACAAGTAATTAATCTCAAGCTTTACTGCTTTACATGAGTCTTTTGTCGTGTGGTGTGTGTGTAGGCTGCTAAAATAAACATTCACATGTGCACCTTACTTCTTCTCACCGCTGATTCCTGATGGTTTAGAGGACAACTCGAGTCGCCTCCTTTTGTTACAAGGCGAGCGCGTCACGTGTAAACGCCTCACCCGTTTGGGGAGCCAGGCGAAAGTATAAACAAGGCTTTAGTTCTCGAGGGGATAGTCTTCGGGGATAGTTCACCCCAAAATAAAAATTCTGTCAGTAAGCAGCGCTTCTATGTTGTACGTCACACACACACACGACCAGCGTCGGCCAATAGTGAGCCTGCGTGTGACGTACGACCCAGAAGCGCTGCGCTGTTACACTACGTGAACTCACTCGAGGCCCACAGAGAAGGAAATGAAGAGTTGAATAAAGTCGTTATTTTTGTTTGTTTTTTGCGCACAGAAAGTATTCTCGTCGCTTGATAAACTTAAGATTGAGCCACTGTAGTCACTCGGACTATTTTAAAGATGTCTTTACTAACTTTCTGGGCCGGCCAGTTTCAATTACAATGGAAGCCTATGGAGGAGTGATCCAGCTCTCAGATTTAATCAAAAATATCTTAATTTGTGTCCCGAAGATGAACGAAAGTCTTACGGGGTTGAACAACATGAGGGAGAGTAATTACTGACAGAAGTTTCATTTTGGGGTGAACTATCCCTTTAAACATCCTTTTTAAAGTTACAAAAGTTATTGTCAAGAGCAGTGAGTGATTTTTTTCTTTGATTAACATTAGAAACAGACATTTTTTAAATACAATTTTTTTTTTTTTACAGTGAAACATTGCAATATTAATTCGCCTCTGGCTAAGCTCCGCCCCCCTTAGTTACTGTTGCTACGTCCGACAAACAAACTTCATCTGGGCTCTGGTATCAACATGGCTTATGCTGTGACTGCTCTTCCTGCTGAAATTTTATCAAACTTTTATAAAGCAGCAAATAAAGTGTCCGATAGAAGTAGGCAAAAGCGGCTGCAATATACGTTCGAAGGCTATATTCACGACATACAGGGGAAACGCAAGGAACACCAAGGCATCCAAATAGAGGCAAAAGCATACCGGTCACAGTCAACAAATGAGCCACCGCATATCCTACTAATGGAGACGGAGGCTGGGACTCACAATATCAAGGAGCAACACTGTTCATGCAAAGCTGGAGGTCTCTATTCACTTCTATAATCGTTATTACAAAGCAAACGGACTACGCGAGTGTAACGTTGTATTTATTAGCAGCGTGTGCTAGACGACACTTGTCAGGGTTTGACTTCGGGTTTGGGAAGGGGAAAAAACGGACACCCCCCTCCAACCTCTCTGGGAAACGCGTATCTGTGTTACAAATGCCCCAGGCACAACGTTTAACCATATTTTAGATAAAACTACGACGGTAATAGCCGGCCGAGACCAAAAATATGAGACGCCTGTGTTAAAGTCAATGGAGCGCTGTGAAAAAGTGTCGGACCTCTGTGGGAGCTCGTTCTTGGCTGCGCTGTGATTGGTCAATCTACATTCAAGGGTGTGGCTTAGCCAAAGGCGAATTAGGGCTGTCAATGTGAACACGTTAAAGCATGCGATTATTTCAAAATCCCTAAAGCCTGGGACACACCAAGCCGACGGTCGGGCAGTTTTTGTGCGTCGGCCGACTCAGTCTTCTCAGTGTGTTTCCGCACCGTCGGCTGAAATTGGTCCTCGTCGGCTTTGTTTCGGCCGATTCGACATGTTGAATCGGTGTCGGGCCGTCAGTGAACGAGGGAACTCTGATTGGCTGTTCAGCTTAGAGAACGAGTCAGTGCACTGCACGAGAATAATAGCAAAACGGCGAGAAAACAAGTGAAACGGTACAGATAGAAGGCTTATGTTACGTCATCTTACTGAGTGTTCCTTGGAGAATATTTCAATATTAACATGAGCGGAGTGTAATAAAGAAAGTGTTTAGCCGGATTGATTTTCAGAACGGTAAGGACACACTGCTTTGTTTACGGTATGTGTATCTGCAGTGTCGGTTTCCCTTTTTGAATGACGAATATAGAGAATATATCTGCAGAAATAGACAGTTGTCTCATTTACACGCCGGCGCAGAGCGCGGACGCTAGCTGACAGTCGGCTAGTTCTCTCAGTGTGTTCAAGTGCAGCTTTTACCCCGACGCGAGGCGACAACACAGTCGGCTTTCATCAGCGCTAGTTCGTCGGCGTCGGCTTGGTGTGTTCCAGGCTTTACCCCTTTTCCACCAAGGCAGTTCGAGTGCTGGTTCAGAGCTGTAAAAAAAGATGGACGCCGCCCCTTCGCTCTCCTCCATTGGTCAGAAGTGAAGCCGCCAGTGTGCCGATATGGCGCTGACATCTTGACCTTGAGTCTGCGCAGAAGCGATCTCGGCACCAGACCTGCGCAGTCGTGAGCCGGAAGTAAAGCCGTGAAATCAAGGCCCCGCCCCCACTCTCCAGAATCAATCGCAAGCACACGCTCCGGCACTTTTTCAAAATTAATTATAGAAATTTAGATATTAAATTTAAAGCTCCAATCTCCTCATTCCCCTGAAGATCCCGAAAAAAAGTCATTTTGGGCTTCAGTGACTACTTCGCTCAGAGAACCTGTCAATCACAGCTGTCAATCATGACGTCACACCACCGCATCAAATAACTAACTAAAAACAAACTTATTTTAAAAACAAACACTTGAAATTACATCAGCGTGATAAAAACTACAGTAAATGACAGAAACCATCTTTGGAAAAACGATATTTGAAGTGTAATTTAATTGTTTAGTTGGTCTCGCGAGCCGTTGAATAACATGAGGAGGCGGGGCTTATGAGCTGTACTGGGACCGGCCACCGGGGGGCGATCGAGACGCTCTGGCTTCACTTCTCAGGGCTTGTGCGGCACGCTTGGTCCAGAGCCAGAGCCTAGTTTCAAATCAGTTCTTTGTGTTTCGACACCGAAACCACCAGCTCTGAACCAGGAAAAGTGGTTCTTAAGTAGCACCAAAACATTGCTGGTCTAGCAGTAAGAAACTTGTGACCGCTATTTTTAAATAAAAGGGGTATCGGTTCACCAGAGGAGAACTGGCTGAGTCTGGGTTCTCCAAAGAATTTTTTTCTCCATTCTGTCACTGATGGAGTTTTGGTTCCTGGCAACTGTCGCCATTGGCTTAAGTCTTGCTTAGTTGGGGACATTTAATTTAATATTCAACAATATTATTGATCTCCTGCATTGACACCATTATATGAGAACTGAACTGAGCTGGACGATGACATCACGGTTTTCTCCAGAGCGGCTATATATATAAATGAACTAAACTAATAACTTTTTTACAACAAAAATGAAGCATCACTGAACTGACTTAAGCTGGACTGTGACACTATTTCCTTCTGGAAACAAGCTTTGCTGCATTGTTTTCCTGTTATCTCTGTAAAGCTGCTTTGAAACAGTCAGTATTGTAAAAAGTGCTGTATAAATAAAGGGGACTTGACATGACCGGATCGGACTGGAGCGGACTCACCCTTGTGGAAGGAGGGGTTGCTGTCGCGCAGGAGTCGGCTGAGCTGGTGTCCGTTGATCTGCAGGAGGCGGAGCTGATCCCGGAGCGACGAGTCCTCGAACACGGCCGGGATCAGGCGGCCCACACTGTTCTGGGACACCGGCAAACCCAGAGCCAGGGCGAGGGTGGGGGGGAGATCCACCTGCTCCAGGACCTCCGGCTCCTCCAGGCCCGCTGGAACACACACACACACACACACGTCAGTAAGAGCTCCTCCAGGCCCGCTGGAACACACACACGTCAGTAACAGCTCCTCCAGGCCCGCTGGAACACACACACACATCAGTAACGGCTCCTCCAGGCCCGCTGGAACACACACACACATCAGTAACAGCTCCTCCAGGCCCGCTGGAACACACACACACATCAGTAACGGCTCCTCCAGGCCCGCTGGAACACACACACACATCAGTAACAGCTCCTCCAGGCCCGCTGGAACACACACACACATCAGTAACGGCTCCTCCAGGCCCGCTGGAACACACACACACATCAGTAACAGCTCCTCCAGGCCCGCTGGAACACACACACACATCAGTAACGGCTCCTCCAGGCCCGCTGTAACACACACACACACACACACACACATCAGTAACGGAGTAACGGCTCCTCCAGGCCCGCTGGAACACACACACACACACGTCAGTTACAGCTCCTCCAGGCCTGCTGGAACACACACACACACACACGTCAGTAACGGCACATTTCAGTCTATTTTTTACTTCAGCAACGTGAATAAAATGGTCAGTTATTTATTTGAACACTTCAGTCCCTGCTGTTGGGAAACACAATATTACTGTTCAACTGCAGTTTTGTAAGTAAGACTTCTCTACATCCATTCATCCATCCATTTATCCATCCATCCATCCAATTATCCATTCATCCAATTATCCATCCATTTATCTATCCATCCATCCATCCAACCATTTATCCATCCATCCATTTATCCATCCATCCATTTATCCATCCATCCATTTATCCATCCATCTATTTATCCATCCATCCAATTATCCATCCATTTATCCATCCATCCAACCATCCATCCATTTATCCATCCATCCATTTATCCATCCATCCATCCATCCATCCATCCATCCATCCATCCATCCATCCATCCATCCATCCATCCATTTATCCATCCATCCAATTATCCATTCATCCAATTATCCATCCATTTATCCATCCATCCATTTATCCATCCATCTATTTATCCATCCATCCAATTATCCATCCATTTATCCATCCATCCAACCATCCATCCATTTATCCATCCATCCATTTATCCATCCGTCCATTTATCCATCCATCCATCCATCCATCCATCCATCCATCCATCCATCCATCCATTCATCCATCCATTTATCCATCCATCCATTTATCCATCCATCCATTTATCCATCCATCCATTTATCCATCCATCCATTTATCCATCCATCTATTTATCCATCCATCCATCCATCCATCCATCCATCCATTTATCCATCCATCCATTTATCCATCCGTCCATTTATCCATCCATCCATTTATCCATCCATCCATCCATTTATCCATCCATCCATTTATCCATCCATCCATCCATCCATCCATCCAACCATCCATCTATTTATCCATCCATCCATTTATCCATCCATCTATTTATCCATCCATCCAATTATCCATTTATCCAATTATCCATCCATTTATCCATCCATCCATCCATCCATCCAACTCATCCATCCATTCATCCATCCATTCATCCATTTATCCATCCATCCATTTATCCATCCGTCCATTTATCCATCCATCCATTTATCCATCCATCCATTTATCCATCCATCCAATTATCCATTTATCCAATAATCCATCCATTTATCCATCCATCCATCCATCCATCCAACCATCCATCCATTTATCCATCCATCCATCCATTTATCCATCCATCGGTTGTTTTATCTATCTATCCGTTTATCCCACTATCCATCCATCTATCCATCTATCTATCGTCCATCCACCAGTTTTTCTACTACTTTTTTCTCTCGTTCCAGTGCTGTTCTGCAAACTGGCACCCAAAATGAAGACATTTACATATTAAGACATAGATGCAGATCACTAGATGACACTGAATAAACTAATTTATACACGCTAAACTTATAATATATTCTTCACATAAATAAGACCAAATCAGCGTTTAAGTCCGTGTTTCCTGCACTTTGCTGCTGATGAATCTGAACTCAAAAACTGCATTTATAATTTAGCTGAATAGTGTTGTGTTGCTGTTGCGTCGTCCGCACTGGCTTTGCACACTAACAAACCAGTAGATATAGTGAGTGTGTGTGTGTGTGTGTGTGTGTGTGTGTGTAATGTAATGGATAGGTTTAGGGGTTGGGTCAGTGTGTGTGTGTGTGTGATGGGTAGGTTAGGTTTAGGGGTCGGGTTAACGTGTGTGTGTGTGTGTGTGTGTGTGTGTGTGTGTGTGTGTGTGTGTGTGTGTGTGTGTGGATTGGTGAATCAGACTGAATCCCACAGGAGAAACAGAGAGAAGTCACCAGAAGAGCTGATCATTAACAGTCTCGGGACGGCGCTGGTTCTACAGTGATCTGATGGACGATGAGGTCAGCATGCAGCGGGTGTGAATATAAGCTCATCTTTAAATAAAAACCGCATGCTGCAAGAGGAAGCTGGTGTGAATATGTGTGTGTGTGTGTGTATAGATGAGTAAGAGATCACCAAAATAGATCAGGCAGGAAAAGAAACAATTATCACATTCACCCTGTCAGTCGGGTGTAGACAGATGCTCTGCCACTCCACACTTTCATTGGGAGAGAAAAATGAGTAGAAGTGGATAATGAGCATCTCACATAGATTTTCACACTCTAGGGTGTGTGTGTGTGAGTGTGTTCACGTGGTTATGCATGCGTAATGTTTGAGATGTGTGTATTGCGTCACGCGATCAGTGCGACGAGCGCTGCGCCAGCTCTGTGTGTCACAATCAATTACACACTGGACTCAATGCAAATTAATCCATTATAAAACAGTGGGGGGGGGGATGAATTAATGCCTTATATTATCAGACAGAGATGAATCAGTGGGTAATTTAAAACCCCTGGGGCATAAAATTATCCAGCAGCATTCCTCTAATGCAATCAAACCGTCACAGACATTTGAGATTTAAAGGGGTCATGACACGAGATCTCTAATTTGCATTGATCTTTTGACATATAAGAGGTCTTTGTATTAAAGTTTTGAAGCATCCTGCAAGTTTCATCGCTTAAAACGTCCTCCTCATTATAAACAAAGCATTTATTTAATCAAGCTTCAAAAACGGCTTGTTTTGATATTGCAGGATCAGAGCAAGACATCGACCAATAGTTATCCATCATCGCATCATAGGCCCCGCCCACTGGCGTTCAGTCGCTTAAGTCAGCATTTATTTCAGTAATTCAACTTAAAAGGTGAAACTAATATATTATATAGACTCATTACATGCAAAGTGAGATATTTCAAGCCTTTATTTGTTATAATTGTGATGATTATGGATTACAGCTTATGAAAACCCCAAAGTCAAAATTAGATTATTGTGAAAAGGTTTTCATAAGCTGTAATCCATAATCATCACAATTATAACAAATAAAGGCTTGAAATATCTCACTTTGCATGTAATGAGTCTATATAATATATTAGTTTCAGCTTTTAAGTCGAATTACTGAAATAAATGATCTTTTGCACCATATATTTTAATTTTTCGAGTTTCCCCTGTAAATGTAACTTTTGTACATGCTGTTGAATAGTTTAGGGTCAATAAAATTTGTACTTTTATTCAGCGAAGATGCATTAAATTGATTAAAAAAGTGACAGTAAAAGAGATTTATAATGTTACAAAAGATTCTATTTCAAATAATTGCTAACTTTCTATTCATCAAAGAGTCCAAATCCATCACGGTTTCCACAAAAATATGAAGCAAAAAACTATTTTAAGAATTTAAAGTCAAAGTAATGACCTCTTTTGAGGTGAAAAGATTTTAAAACACCTAAAAAGTACTTGATTTTATTCATTGGGAAATTATTAGATTGAAGAGCAAACTGTTCTACTGTAATATGTATTAAATAAAGACTAGCCAGCATTAAATTACTACATTAGCCACAATTTTGAGGATCACAGAGGGTGGAGGTGCTCATGAAAAACTACATCTTGGCTGTAAATGGTGCAAGAAACCTTGAGGAAAAAACCTAATAAATGTATTGCTCCAGCAAAGAAGAGTGTGAAACAACAGCACGCTCTTTTCTCGTGTGGAATAATTGCCCTTCATTATGTGAAACATTTCTACACTGAGTTTTAACAAAAGCAGAACATATTTTTGTGCATAAAACACATTTAAAATGCAAGACTGGTTCAAATAACTCTTAAACAGATGTACAGATGCGTATAGCTTTGCAGATTCTAAGAATATCTCGCACAGTCATTAAGGCTGATCTGAAAAGTGCCACTGTTTTTGATAAGCGTTGTTCGGTGTCGTGCGCTGCGGAGAGTTTGCTGAAAGAGAAACTTTGATTCCGGAAGACTCATTACACACTCCAGCAGTGTGTATCTTCCCGTTTCTTGAGCTTTTACAGCAGTAAGGCACGTTCAGCTCCCCGTCCCTCACAAAAATATTCATTTTCTTAAATTCATCGGTGAGTAGAGGTGAAATTCGAAGTGCAAAAGTTCATTTATTTCAGTAATTCAACTTAAAAGCTGAAACTAATATATTATATAGACTCATTACATGCAAAGTGAGATATTTCAAGCCTTTATTTCTTATAATTGTGATGATTATGGATTACAGCTTCAAATAAAGGCTTGAAATATCTCACTTTGCATGTAATGAGTCTATATAATATATTAGTTTCAGCTTTTAAGTTGAATTACTGAAATACATGAACTTTTGCATGATATTCTAATTTTTCGGGTTTCAACTGTATGCTGGTGGTTAATCTGATTTAAAGCAAGGAAAATATGAAAAATCCTCACTTTAGGCACACCGACTCACATGGAGACTGATTTATTGTGTGTAAAGCTTCTTTGCCGGACTATCAGAGCCCTTGTTTAGCTGAGATATCTGTCAAAATAACAAGCATGAATAAAAACTTTAAACACATTAAAAAATATTTTGCACGAAACTTAAACTTATGTTCATGTTGTCTTTAAAATTATGTTT